AAGCTCAAACAATAACAAAAAAACTTTATATAAAGTACTCGGCGCGTCTCGTGTCGCAGAAGAGAAACAGAAACCCAATGAAATGAAGATAGGAATCAGGAATGCACTGTTGCGTTGTTGCTGTTGGGGATGGTCACTTAATATAAGAATATTAACTCTTGGAAATGGGGTGTTATTCTCGCGCCGAGAATAATATACTTATTTAAAATCTTAATATACCGATTTCAAGTAGAAGTTTTAAAAAAGTTAAGAATACCGACTTATTATTATATAAAAGCATTTATACTTCATTTAATAATAGTTTCTTCGTTGCTAAAGGATTTATTCACTTGATAGTAATATAAGTTTTTCGTAAATATAAGTCATTTTATTCTTTTTTTAGATTCAAAATTACTTAAAGTGACTATAAGTATATTTAAAAAGCAAGTGTAAAAGTAAAATAGTTCCAAATATTTGTTGTACTCATGGAAAGAATACTATCCTTACAGAAACTGTAAAATTTTAAGTGTATGATTGTTCTTGAATATAGAAATGATTTTTTTCCGTGTAGTTCTTCAGTATACGAGTATAAATTTGCCTAAACTACAATATACAGGGTGGTCCGAACATTATTCCAGAAACTTTGGCAGCATATTCTGCAGATAAAAATAAGTAAAAAAGTTCGTATAAATGTATCTCCTAAAATGCTTAGTTTTGGAGATACAGGGTGTAGAAGTTTTATTTTTATTTCGATTTGTTCCAAACAACTTCTGAAGTAATGTCAATATTTGGATGAAAATTGGTGTTTGGAAATTTTTTGACAAATTTGATTTTGATGTCAATATGACTCCTATTTGTAGGGGGCGCCACCTACAAATAGATACTATATATAATATAGATACTATATAATAGTTATAGAACAACTGAGTGAAAACATATACATTTGCGACGTTTTTTAAGTAAAAAATTTCTCTTGGTAGAAATCGCTACAAGCAACCGTTATCAAGATATTTAGAATGAAAATAGTAGATACATGTCATTATTGACAAAAAAACACGTTGAGTTACTCTTCAAACCAGCTAAAAATATGTAGATGGCGCCATCTACAAGTAGGAGTCATATTGACATCAAAATCAAATTTCTAATGTCGAAAAACTCCCAGACACTAATTTTCATTCAAATATTCACGTTACTTCACAAACGCTTTGGAAAAAATCGAAATAAAAATAAAACTTCTACATCCTGTATCTCCGAAATTAAGCATTTTAAGTAGCGATGGGAACTATCGAATGAATTAGACTATCGAATGGTTAATGAATGAATAATTTCAACTATCGAATGGTTTTATTCGAATAAAATCATTCATTCATTTGTATACTAAAGCATATGTGACAACCTCGCCGTGCGACTAAATGGTTATCGTTGAGCCACGACTATCGAATGCTTTTGATAAATGAAATTTAGTATTCGTTTGATTTTTGTATGCGTCAGTGCATTATTAGTTACAGTTATACCAGTATCAGTAAATCAAAACTAACAAAAATAATTGTGCTAACCGGAACAGCAAAACAAAGAAAAATATTCTGGCACTTCGTGGAATATATGCCTTGAATTTTTGGCAAGCGTTCCAGTTTTCATTCACACGAGGGGGTCGCAATTATATATTCTCGGTATGGAAAGCCAAACACAAAGGGCGTAGCGTAGATTTATTCAAAATAAATACATATATGTATATTTTATTATTAAATTAGTAGTTCTTTATTCATTCTTAAGTTTATACTTTTTCTTTATTTTTTTTTTCATATGTACAGCTGGTTCCAATAAAATTGAATACGATTTAAAACATATTTTTATTATTTCGGGCAGTATATTCTATGATACCAGTCCCCCATTTCTCTATTCATGTCATGCTGACGTTCTGAAAAAATGATTTGCCACTTTGTCAAAAGTAGTCAAAAGCAAAGTTGTTTTATGCAATGTCACAATAACCTTAACATGTCAAAATACTTGACACATAAATATACACTGCCCAAATATTCGAAAAAATGTGTAAAGAGTCGTACTCATTTTTTTTGGAACCAGCTGTACTTTTTGTTTACAATATAATCAATTTTTTGACATATAAAGTGACACTTTTCGTAATTTAATATCAAATAAACTTGTAGTCACGTAATTAAGCTTGACCAGCAAGGAGTTGCCTACTTTTTTGTTTAACTTTTGTTTTTCAGTTTAGTCAGCTCACGGTCTTCCTTCAAATTTAGAACAGCCAAGTTGACAGCATCTTCATAGAATTTTTATTACTTTATTTTTTTTGTATTTTTTCTTTATTTATGTGTTTTTATTTTTTTTTTAATTTTTGCTTCTTTGTATTTTTTTAAATTTTCTTTTAATTTTTGTTTTAATTTTCTTTTTTTAAAAAAATATTTTCTTTTAATCAAAATATTTTAGGAAACGAAAATAAATTAATTATAAATATAAAAACAGTTATTATTTACACCAACAAAACGCACCTTCTTAACAGCACTTAGAGGACATAAATGGCCATTACTACCGCTTTCCCGTTCAAAATATTCTAATAAAGCTGCGATGAGTTTTTTACGGCTATTAAGCTATCTTGTACACTTCGCACTAAAAAAGGTTCTAAAAAGAAGAATGTTCGACTGCAAGGTCTGCTAGTAAAGTATCACAACACTATTTATTTAACCCAAAAACTCGTAATACAAAACTAAAGTGTCAAAGTGAATGACGATGTCAGGAAATAAATAAAAAATTTGGTAACTTGACATTTTTTACGGCAGAGCTACCACCTGAATACCCAGCGGGAAATTCAAATTCCAGTTAGTCAGCCCGGCGCCGAATATGTCCGCGGTTGGCAACAATGAATTTAAAAATCGCGCCCTCGATTACGTATAGTAAACGCCACGAATGTTTGGGAGTAATTCATCGCTTGATGAAGTTAGAATCGACACGCGCGCTATAATTTTTACATTAAAAACGTAAATTTTTATCGCAGACGTAGGTTTTTAAAGGCCCGGTCTAATCATCGGCCTGCGTTCCTCCTACTTATTCTAAAATGTTATCGTGACAGACAAAGACGATACTATATCGCGTTTCTTTGATTGATTCGTTTTTGTGCGTCAGTCCATTGGTGCGTGCAGTGCGACCAATGGGGCATTCCATTTTATATTTATAACCAAATATATGTTTTGACAAGACTTTGACAGTTAAAACAACAAATTACAACAGAATATATATTGATTATTATAGGTATAACTTGAAACACCACAGCACTGGAATTAAGTTTTATGTGACCTTAAACAGATTAGTTCACATGGTAGCAACCGATGAATCACTCCCAAACATTCGTGGCGTTAACTTTAACTAAAAGTTTATTTGGTATCGAATATATGTATATTTTAATATTAAATTAGTAGTTCTAAAGATGCCCGGTGGCGTAGAGGTACAGGCTCTCGTTCTCCAATCTCAAGGTAGTGGGTTCGAATACTATACACCCAGCATATCATCAGCCGACTTTTTTTTATTAAAATAAAAATAGTTTGGGAACCTAGGTCGACTCAGCCTTAAATGAGTAGTTGGGATTCACAATCCTGAGGTAATAATAGGCGGTTGAAGCGTAGTGCTAGCCACATTACCTTCCTTGTATACCGAACGGCTCTAGCATGGCAAGCTGTACCTTGCTACACCCAAGGCGTTAAACGCTATATACGGGAGCTATTATTATTAATTAGTAGTTTTTTATTCATTCTTAAGTTTATATTTTTTAATACTTTGTTTACAATATAATCATTTTTTCTTCTATTTTTGACATATAAAGTGACACTTTTCGTAATCCTTTGACCTTTTGAAAGATGATTCATTTAACAACTAGCTAAAAAATATTTTTCTTTTTGTAACTAGTGATCAAATAATAAATAATTCGTTACTAATCGTGTAAAAAAAGTCAATCCTTTAATCATTACAAGAGGTAAATAATGTTTTGCCACTTTAATAAATTTTTCTATTATAGTGTCAAAAGATTTTTTCGATGACATTCATAGTCAAATAAAATACTTAATATTATTGTTGGTCAAAATTAGTTTCTGCTACTTATGTTCATTGCGCACGATGTCCAAAACTCCATTCGTTATACAAAATAATCTATTCCAACTAGTTGCGTAGATAACTACCATACGATAAACAAAAACGGTGTCTAAGATAGCTGGAGAATGAAAATCAATGATAATTTTGGCGAGATCAAGCCCTAGCCCTTTAAAATTCGAGAAAAACTATTTTTTTTGGAAATATATTTGTGTGTCTGGAAACATCCTATTCTTTTTGAATCTTTCTATAATTCGTGTTAATTTTTGACAAGTTTTATGTCAATTTTTAGTAAAGGACATCTAGTGACTGACTTGGCCAAAATTACCATCTATTGATATTCTCCAGCCGTTTTTGACGCCGTTTTTTTCCAATCATTTTTTTCCATCACAAGGGGCCGTCCTCTGCCGGAAACACTGCGACCTGTGAGGCCTATTGTGTTTGTCCCCCTTCTATATCTACACCCATTCTCCTATCCCTGTACCCTGCACTAGCTTATGCAGGTCCTTGATAGGATAGGAGCATAGTTCCTCCGGTTCTAACCTAGCTTTCCCAAATAATAAGTGTCGCTTGCGATCCAGAGCCTCGCAATGATATATTATGTGCTCCGCTGTTTTAGGATCTTTATCGCAGAGTCTGCAGAAAAGACTTCCTTGATATAGGTTAAGCTTGTTCAGGTAACACTTGACAGCCATGTGTCCTGCCAAGAGGCCTGTTGTAATCCAAACCAAACCAAACCAAACAGTTCTTTTGCGGTTTAAGAGCTAGGTCCTTGGATAAAAGCCTTGCTGTGCCTATGCCCCTGTCTGTTTCTCCAATGGACATTGTGCTTTTCCCTGATCCAGAGTTTTAGTGCACTACGGTCCACTACTTTTCCCGATCATACGGTATTAGATTATATAGAAAATGGAATATACACTAACCTGTTTATCTTTCAAACACTCCGTTCTATCATACCACCATTTGTTTTTCAGTTTCGTCAGCTCACCGTCTTCCTTCAAACTTAGAACAGCCAAGTTGACAGCGTCTCTAAAATTCACAGAATTTGTATTACTTTATATTTTTTTGTATTTTTTTATTAGTATTTTTTTAATTTAATTTTATATTTCTGTTTCTTTTTTTTTTAAGAAATATTTAAACAGACAAGAAAATAAGAAAAACATTAAACTTTTCACCTTAAAGGGGATCCTAAAGGCGTGGCCACACCAAAACCTTTAGCGTCAAAATTTCTGCCGACTTTCATGGTATCGCATGGCTCCCGTTCATTAGTATAATCGTTCTTGGGCGATTCTATCAGCAAAGCGTACTTTCCTGCAACCGTAAAACATTTAATGTAGATTAAACCTACTTGAAAGACTTTATTTTGTGTGAATTACCTTTTGATTGTCGCACTCTCTTAATACCTTCATCGTAGGATTTAACAAAAACGTGTTTTCTTGAGTTCATAAACTCCCACATCCTTGAGTAGAGTGTTATTTGGGACCTCTGTAACAATATAAAGTAAAATATGTATGGGAAATTTAAATACATTTTGAAAACGATTTATGTAATATTTATTTCTTTTTTAATTGATTGCCTTATAAAGGATCATAAAACCATTCTTTCTGTCCCCTACAAATAGAGTATTATTTTCACTTTATATCTATGGCAAACAGTTGATGGAAAACTTTAATCAGCTGCTAAACAGCCACGAAAATTTGGCTCAAATATGACTTTAGAAAATGGGGAGAGCTCATAAGTAAGTTGGGTAAGGACGTCGCCAGGTTAACGGCGGTATACAGTGTGTCCCAGGCTGAGAGTGCATTAGAAGTTTCTAGATAACTATAATATGTAGATCGGAGATTTTTTGCACGTCATTGCTTTACAATATGGCGGCACTTCCGGAAATACCGGAAGTTGACAACAACTTTCTTAAAAATAGGTACTCCCATTTTTTATTACATACTTATATTCTCTGTAAAATTATATGAATTCTGATATTGACTCTTTATATCTAACTTTAACCGTTTTGAGAAAAAAAATATTTAAAATTTTTACACGAAAAAAACCGCCAGTCAAAAAAAATTGTATAGCGCAAACGTCAAATTTAGTGACAACCACAGAACCACAGTCAATGTGATATAAGGAGTTTTATTATATTTACTAGCGTGTACCAGCGACTTCGTTCGCGTCGAATTAATCATTTGTAATGGTGATGATAAAGCAAAGCAAGAATTTCCATTAACATACAAACTGGATAAATTTTTCTCACATTTATGTCAGCATGAGAAAAAACAATATGGCGATATTATTATATAACTTGGTTATATTTGAGGGGGTAGTTTCATCTCGTTGGAATTTGACTTTCAAAAAAATCCGTTTGCTAAAAATAAGCTTTTACGTCAAGCAGTTTAAGCAGAATCGTGGTTAAGAAATTACCCAACTTTTTGGAACACTCTGTATGATTTTTTAAAAAATTTTAGAATATGTAAAAAAACAAATAAATTATGCTTGTCCAAGCGTTTTCCCGAAAGACTAACTGTTTTTTAAATAACAAATATTGTAATATTTGAGGGGCGTTTTTACCCTCTTGGAATTTGAGATTCGAGAAACCCCTTCTTATCGAACCTCTACACCCCACGGTCAATCCGTTTGCCAAAAATCAGCTTTAAAGGTCAAGCTGTTTAAGCAGAATCGTGATGAAACACCCTATATAAATTTATAAAAAATCTTAAAATATGTAAAACAACTAAATAAAATATACATGTTTAAGAGTTTTTCCCAAAAACTTACCGGTTTTTAGATAAAAAATATAATTTAATATTTGAGGGATAATTTCACCCGCTTAGAATTCGAGTTTCGAAAAATCCCTTCTTATCGAACCTCTACACCCTAAAGTCAATCTGTTTTCCAAAAATTAGCTTTTTACGTCAAGCGCTTTGAGCAGGATCGTGATTAATCAATGACCAGATTTTTCGAAACACCCTGTATACATTTTTAAAAAATCTTAAAATATGTAAAAAAACAAAATAAAATATACGTGTTTAAGCGTTTTTTCGGAAACTTGACCGTTTTTAAAAAAAAAATATTGTAATATTTGAGGCGTGATTTCACCAGGTGGTTTCAGTTCTCTTGGAACTGGAATTTCGAAAAATCCCTTCTTATCGAACCTCTACACCCTAGAATCAACCTGTATGCAAAAATTGAGCTTCTTACGTTCAGTGGTTTGAGCAGGATCGTGAATAATCAGTATGTCAGTCAGTTAAGGATTTTATATATTAGTATATATTCTTATTACATTATTATAAATTTTCTACCTTGAAGAAGTCCCATGTGGCTCCATGCATTAGTGTCCCGTATTCCACTTCAGTTTGTGATGCCAAATCTTCGGGTGAGTTAATAGGTGCTACCATTCTTTCAACCGTGAGAAACGCAGCAAGATTGGCTGTGTAGCTGGAAATTATTATCAAAGTAAAAAACCACCAGCAAGCTCCTACAATTCTGCCTGAAATCGATCTTGGTGATATATCTCCACCTAGAAATCAAAAGAAAATAATCAAGAACTTCTAATACACTTATAATTTAAACAAAATACCCAACAATTTGTATTTTAATAAATGTTCAGGTTTAAAGTTCGTTACAAGTGGGGAATAATAAAATACTTAACTTTTAAGTAAATGTGTCTAAGTAATGATTACCTTGTTGCATAAATGCTGCTAAAGAAAACCATAAAGAGTTGAGTAGACTGAAGTCATTGGCCATAGTACCTCCACTGTTCATGTGTAGATGTGGTGGATGCCTGATTGGTTCCTCCATGTGATGGAGGATTCTCCATTCGTATGGAGAAAATCTGGAGACGACGTATAGTACGATGCTAACACCCACAAATGCAAACACCACACTAATCTGAAAAAATAATGTTCTCAGTTATATTGAATATCTGGTTGGTCTAAGCGTTATAGATAGAGGTTTTTAATTTATAAAATGCTGACAATACTCAATAATTATTATTTCACACCCTTGATTCTTTTGATTTGAATTCAACTTGCCAAAAGGTAAATAAAGTTTTAGATTTTATACCACTAAAATATGCAAAATTTTGTTCACTTCTACTTTTTACATGCAGAGTTAAAAAATGTTTAAGATTTTACGAACATTATATTTTAATGTATATTTAATTCTAATCATTATTAAATAAATGTTTTGTAATATAAATATTGTGTTGTTTTACTATTCCCAATAGAAACTAATTTAAGTTACTACCTCTCTTTACTCTTAAGTTTTATATTTTATTTTAAAGACAGAATATATGTTTAGCTAGAACTTGTAGCTTAATAGTTGAAATCTAATTATAAAAATTGGAAGAACAGCGATTCAAATAAAGGCGGGTTATGATGTCGGTAGTGAAGGTTTTTTTAATGTGTAGAAAACTGGTTCTTTCTCCTGCTAGGCGGCGCTAATATACGGCTCCTAAAATAACACGGGAGTGGGCAATCTAAAAGTTATCTATGGAACAAGTTTTAAATTACGCATTAGTGTAGACTGTACAAAAATTACATTTTATATTAAATGTTATATAGTTATATTTCTTATATCTATCAAAAATAGTAAATAAAACTAACTTTAACACTAACTTTAACCGCAAGGGTAGATTTAATGATACTTTAACAGCGAGGATAGGTTAAAAACTTTATTTCTTCTCGCACGTTTTTTAATTGCTTCCATTTTTGAAAATTTTTGTATTCCTTTTATTCGTATTAGTATAAGTTATTCGGGATTTAAATAGAAGTTGTTTGGATATGGCGAGTATCTGTTGGTAATTTACTTATTTCGTTTTGAGCCATTTCTGGCTCCAATTCAATCAGCAATCGACACGAAAGAGAATTAAAAAATATTGACTCAAAACCATAGATAAACAAATAAAAAGAGACTGGCAAATTAAATGGCAAAGAGAGGGACAACGTTTCCGTAGCGAAACTCAGAACGCAAAATTTCGTTCTATTTATGTTGATCTGCGCATTGCGTCTATTGGGGCCACTATCTCATTCTAATATAACAAGAGAGAAAGAAGCAGCAATATAAAACGTAATTTCTAAATAGAAATTAGACCAATCGCTTTTCGTTTTCTTCATCATGACAACCAAGATGACAACATCATGACAATTCGTCATGTTTGTTAATTTTTCTTTTGGTGATTTACCTTTTTTTCTAAACTCTCCATTTTATTGACTTATGAATATGGATAGGGAACAAATTCCTTTGTTCCATATATGTATTTATATTTTGTTACTTATAATTTTAGGTTATACTATTTGTTATTTTATTTGCTGCAGGAGCCAGTATCATCTATTTTTTATATGTATTGGTGCCCCATTTCTCTGATAGATATGTTAAAGACACCCTGTAAAATAAAAGTAAGTAGTTATATTTATCATCTTATTAAGAAAAACGTAGAAGTAGTAGTGTCAAGAATATTTCGAACCTCTCTTAACATAACAAATTAATACAATTAATTTTTTGAGTAGGTAGTTTATAGCTGGTTTATAGTAACCAGAAACTTTATTAATATACCTATTTTACTTTTGTTTTAGGATTAAAACTGGACTTGAAAATGGTTCAGGATCATGATTCTCGTAAAGTCTTCTTTTTCTTGGATATTCACTTTGTTATTGCAATTAGGCAATTTTTTCGAAAATGAGATTTTCAATGCCCTTTAAAAAAATTGGCCGATCGTTTCCTGCAACAGTCAGTTCTTCTGCAGTTAAAATTGGTAGGTGGGTGGAATAAACACTGTTATTTTTTGTTATTATATTATAAAAAGTTTATTTATTTTTATGTATAAATAAATATGTTTATAAAACAGTACAATTTTTGCTTTTTTTATAATTTCCTTTATAATAGTAGTATTCTTTCGTTCTGAAAGAAACTGTAAATTTTCACTTAAACTGATTTATTCCCTACACCACGTTCCTTTTAAGTGGTATAGGGAATAAATCAGTTTAAGTGAAAATTTTCAGTTTCAGAATGAAAGAATACTACTAATAATGGCTAATTTAAATTTTCCGCCAGCCAGAATGTGCGGTAATGTTCTCATATAAAGTACACATAATAAAGAAAGATAGCAATAAAGACGTACGTCCTGCCATGGTCCTGCTAATTGGTTTCAAAATTGTTATTCTGAGTTGCGCTACGGGAACTCCCGAAAAAATCTTTTCGGTCGACGATAAAATACCATTTTATCGTCTTGTATAAAAATAACTATTAATTTACGCTAATATTTGGACACTTCAACATTTGCATGGAGTCTACTTACAATGAGCTACTCGGTAGTACTTCTGGTTCATTTGATGGTACTGCTACTGTACTCTATATCTATTTCATACTTTTTTTATTGTTATAATGTGTAAAGTAAAACCAAAAGCAAATAAATTACTAGAAATCACTTAAGGTGAACTTCTTCGCTGACCATATGCATCTTACCCATATCTCTTGAGACAAGGGATTGAGGAAGCTGAAAACTCCAGGTTTCTGTTTCATGGGCTTCTTGATCATTATGGAGATACCAAGCGACATGAACGGTTTGCTGAAGTCGATTACTCGTTCACGAGCCGATGTTATTGTTATTGGTGCTATTGCCAAATCTGCTTCCTAAGAGAAAACATTTGAATTGTTAAGAAATTGTTTTTATCTTTCTCACTAATAATTAAGTCAAATTAAAATGAACTTATATATACTCAAAGATAGTTGTATTTTTATATTGCAACTTACATTTCTAACCAGTTCACCAACCATGCCATCCCATCCACCTTTAACTTCTGTATTTTCAGAACCATATTTCCCATCTTTTACTATTCGTAGTTCATCTAGAAACAAACGTCTTGAAATTTAACATCTTTAATTAATATATGAATTAAAATTTTATGTCTCAAACAATATCAATGTTATGTCCATTGTTTTATATATTTTGTTGCAGAAAGTTTTATCTCCATGGAATAAATCTTGGTAAATATAGCAATAGAATTTCTTCTTCGTTAAAGCAACTCTCATATGTTTTTTGAATTTTTCAATTCCATACAATTTGCAACATTTTTCAATTTTCAATTATTCTACTATTAAAGCCGACAGACCACAAATCAGAGATCTTTAAGAGTCCGTTTCATTAGTCCGGAAGAGTAGCAAAATAAGCGTTCGGCATTCAACGTTTTATGTAAAGCTGGCTAGGTATTTTTACACAAATGAAGAAGAAAATTAAAGATCAAGGACTATACTATATCCGTATTGTAGCACATTTTTAGACAACTTCTTTACTTTTAAGATTTTGATGGTCAAACATCAACAAAATATTCCTTATGTTTGGACTAAATTTTCTCGAAAATAAAGACATAACTTAAAATACCTTTACAAACGAAAATAGATTGAAGTTTTGTGATTACAGCAATATATAATTTATACGGTTTTGTAACAAATTTCTCGCTATTTTATTCCAAATGCTGATGCCATGCAAACCTTAATCAAGCCTTAATCCAAGCACGTGTGTTTGGAATTTTGGATGTGGCTTAACATGACAGGATCGGGCTAAGTCTTAGGCAGATTTCTGAAATATAATATATATTTCCTTCGGTCACACACCCGCTTTTACCCGACCCCTGAGAACGACCCGAACAGTACAGCGTAATAGCACAAATTATACAGATTATAAACTTTGTTTTTTCTTTATTATTTTTCGTGGTTCCAATTTTCGGAATCGGACACTAGTTAGGTTACTAGTTTGCGCACATTGTCGTTACGCATATTGCGCACATTGCACGCCCACTTATGGCCTCTAAAATTGTGCACAGCGCCCGACCGGCACAGTTATTAGAGAGATATCGGAAAACCGAATAGCGTCATGCAGTATTTACGCGTACTTTATCATGGTTACGATATGCGCGAGTCAATTTTTAACGCAACACCCGCTAATAACGTTACCGCCTGACGTAATTTGCGGATCAATTATACCAAGCGCCATTTCTAAATAACGTTTAAAAATTGCTTAAATGGGCATGTGCGGGTATTTGACAACCGGGGCCGGCCGGCGAGATCTTTTATTTTAGGTTATGTTTGAATTCTTTTGAATTATTACTTTAGTTTTATTAGGTAATTTGAACTTTAAGTAGCTGGGATTAGTTTTAATTAAATAAATATGGCCCAAAATATGGATATAGTCTAAAAAATGAATAACTTTGAATTTTGACAGTTATTTTTTACCAACATGGCAAATATAAAATCCCTCTATCAAAAAAGTTACTGATATTCTTTAAAATGAGTGCCTGAACGAATCAAATAGGTGACTCTTTTTACTTTCGTGAAATAGAAAAGGAAAATAATAAAACAAGTGACAGTTCTTCCCTTCTTGCAAAAATCAACGCAAAATGTCATAATTGACAAAAGTAAAATGTCATCAGCCTTTGACATTTCTAAATATCAGACCAATGCCGTCTCTAATAGAACAGCCTCGGAGCGAGATTTTTGACGTCACGCTAGTTAGGTACCACGGATTAATAAATATGTTGTAGAATACATGGAAAACATAAATATTCCTCGTATTTTTGGTTTGTATTTTAAAAATGATATAGTTTACATGAAATATACATAATATACAGTTAATAAATACAATATATATATATATATATATATATATATATATATATATATATATATATATATATATATATATATATATATATATATATATATATATATACCTATTTATAGTAATAAATACTTTGGCAAATATATTATGAACCATACAAATGCAGCAAATGTTTTACAATACACAAATAATGAATAGGTACATAAGATAATGGGTAAAATGTAAAATATATTTTAAATTTTGGGGTTTGAAAATCGATCTAATTTGACAAAAAACATTCAATATCTACTAATAGTAATATATTATTATTTGCATTCACAAAATTTATATGTATATTTTGAAAGCATCAATGTTCGAAAACTTATATTTGCAAATAATACAATATCATAGAAAAAAAGGCGTCAGCGATGGCTATTAAATAAAGATCGCTGTCATTTTATATGTAAAAGTATTTTAAAATTTTTGGTTTTCTTGGGATTTAGGTTCGGGAAAAACTCTGATTAAGTTTTAATTTGGTTTTTCATTATATTATATAGCTAACGTTTATAGCCTTCATCAGTGTTGTGTCATATGAAAAAAATAGTGTCGAATATAATTCAAAAAAATACATATACGAGGTATAATTATGTTTTCCGTGTATTCTACAACATAATTAATCCGTAGTATCTAACTAGCGTGACGTCACAAATTTCGCTCTGAGGCTGTTCTATTAGAGACGGCATTGCATCAGCATGGCGGCAAGTTGCTAACCTAATAAAATTTACACTAGAAAAGCCCGCGGGAACTGTCAAATTCAAAGTTATTCGTTTCACAGACTATACCACCTCTTCCAATATTAAAGAACCTATAAAGAGGCTTTGGTTTACAGCAGATGACGACTTAGCCCTTCTAAGAGAATTTGTTGCTTGTTGCCCTAAACCCACTGGCAGACGTTGAACAATAAAGCACTGGAAATAAGCACTTTAGCCCTTTAGTTTTAAAATACCTAGTAAACAAAACAATTTCAAAGTTTTAAATTCAAAGTTAGGTTAAGTTTAAATAGCGGACGCGACGCGAACAGAATTCTTTCCGATCCGATAACTATAAATGAAGAGAGTTAATACCACTCACGTACAGGAAATAACACCTGGGGTGCAACTTTGTTCAAGTTAGCAAGCGATCGTTTAGAAGCGATGTCAAAACCAGATCGATACTATGTTCATTGCAAAACTATTGTCGCTCAAATGCTGCGAAATATGGTATCACTATCACACTCTTGCACACGTGTCTAGACTGTCGCCTCGCCACAAAGCGAGAAATCAGAATATCGCTACGAATCATGTTGCTACTGAACATAGTGCATCAAGCTACAAATTACTTTGCTATCGCTTTGAAACATGAACAAAGTTGCACCCCTGGCCTTGTTAACGTCCATGCCCGCTATTCGGTTTAGCGATATCTCTCTATTACGCTGTTTATTGTTATTTTACGCGAGTTTATTTTTGCTCACAAGAAATTTTACTCGTTTGCACATCGTCATAAAAAACAATTTTCGTACCACGAATTAGGGATAAGATTTTTATCTGTATACATATAGTAACCTGTTGGTGAGTTATAGCTGGAATAACTGACCCAACTCTGATTTATTTATTTAGATTACATAATACAATACCTATAATTTTTATAGACAGAAAAGAAAATTATAAAAATAATATTGATATTTGATATTGAATGGGGATATTTTGTATAGGCTGAATTTAAATCCATAAGAACATACTTCAATGTCAGTTAAAAATTGTGTTGCACAACTTCAATTCCCTTATGTGAAACGTCAATTATCTTGCTAGTAGTCCATTAAAAACTTACCAGCACGCCTTTGTAATTTCCCATTCGATTTTACATTGACGGGCAAACGAGGAAAGTCGATAAATAATTTAACCTGTTTTAAAACTAGGTCTTAGCTAGTTCGATTTAAAGGCCGACCTAGACATAGTAAGTATTTTGGTCAAGTTGAAAATATAATTTACTAAAATGTTTTTGCATATTTGTTGTTTTTCATTAAAAATCTATATGGCTATCATCACCATTACCTTGGAAAAAGTCTGGATTATTTTGCCACATTTTTTCATGAAAAAAGCTATTTTTTCTTCTGATAAACTCAGAACGTAAAGGCTTTTAATAGACATAATTTCTAAAAAACGCCCGTCATAGAAATCTACAACCAATTTGGATAAAAGAATGTGCATTTGCAGATGGCTTGGCAATTTTAGCTAACAGCGAAAAAGAACTGAAAAGAAATTTAGAAATCTGGCTGGAAGCTCTAGGAGAGAGAAATCTAAAAATCAACGGGATTAAAACAAAAGTTATGATTTTAGGTAAAACAGAAGTCAATATGAATATATTAAAAGATAAATGGACATCAATTTGGAACAAGACGATTCATACAAATATTTGGTAGTAACATCAGCAACACAGGAGAACAAGAGACGGAAATCATCGAAAGAATTGGCAACACGTCCCGACATTAAGAACAGTTTCTTAAATAAAAAGAAATCTCGAGGGCAGTGAAGGTGAGTGTATACAAGACAGTATTCATACCGACGTTGACTTTGGCTGTGAAAGTTGGGCATTAACTAAAAGATTGAAGAGTAAGATCCAAAGAATGGAGATGTTATATCTACGAAGAGTACTTGGGGTAACAAGGAAAGATAGACTAAGGAACAGCTTTATAAGAGAGGAACTAAAAGTAGATTCGATTCTGAATAAAATTGAGCAATGTCAGCTTAGGTGGTATGGACATTGGATTAGAATGAAAAACGTCATACCAGTAAAAGGCGTGTGGGAAACTAAAATGCAGGGAAAGAGACCAAGGGGAAGACCAACTAAAACACGGAATAACACGATAGAGAAGATAGTGTAGGATAGAGGACTAACATTAACAGAAGCCAAAAGTTTACCAAGAGACAAAAATAAATGGAAACAATTTGTGTATACTGTAACGGCATCATGTAAAGCAGGTAAAATATGATTTTCGAGTAGTTCCAAATAATATTCTGCTTTTAAATTTCGCGTAAAAAATATTGGCCCGATAATATTGTGTCCGAATATCCCTGCCCAAACATTTACTTTCTGTGGATATTGCGTCCTTGTTTCGACAAACCTGCGTTGGTTTTCTTTGTTCCAATATCGATAATTTTGAACATTGGGTTCAATATTTAAGGTAAACGTGCATTCTTCAGTGAAACATATGTT